GCCCAGGGTCACACAGCAAATAAGTGTCTGAGACTGGATTTGAACTCAGGTCCACCTGAATCCAGGGCCGGTGCTCTATCTACTGCACCACCTGGCTGCATACTTACTAGTTGTTTGACCATGGACAAGATAAGCCTCTTTGACGATTAATTTCTTCACCAGCAATATTAGTGATAATAGCTGCGAATCCAAGCCCTCTATTGATAATCCTTTTGAGATCAAGATGTGTGGGACAGTTCGGTATAGAAATCAATGCTTATTTATACCCTAACTCAAGTTCCTCCTCGCTAACCCCCTTCCCCTTATCCCATTGCCTGGGCTTTCAGGGAGTACAATCTATCCAGGGAGACGAAGGCATCCAGTATATGAGATTTTAGGTGGAACCTTTGTGTGAATTCATTAGAAGCTATAGGTAGCAGCTGAATGAGATGAGTAGGAATGGTTGGGCTGTGATCTGCATCTCTTCAAAGTAGGCTTGTGACTTACCTGGGGAGTTCTCTACCTACACCTCCACCTCTACCAGCAGTCTTCTTATGCTGGAAACACCTTCACCCCAACAGCCTTCTCCAAAGAGTGAGTTCCTCTTCCATTTGAGGAAGTACCCATGACACCCAAGCTGACCTCAAAGCTGGGACCCAACCCATAACTCTCCTACTTTTCTACCTTGCTCCTACTTTCCTCTACCCCTTTCTGCTCCTTTGGAACAAAGCTCCTGGAGGGCAGGGACTGTTTTTTTTTCCCACTTGTATTTATATTCCACAGTGAGGACTGGAATATAGTAAACATTTAATAATTGATTTGTATATTTTTCCATCTCTTGTTGAAGGGAACTTCTAAATGAGGGAGATCGTAAAAATCCATTTAATTATTTCAGGACTATAATGTCTGAATGCTTTTAAATGCTTTAAAAAATTTACAGAGTGCTTTACATTCTTTATTGTATGGTGACCAACTGTAAATTAACTTATTAACTATTCTCAGCAATCAAGTGATTCAAGACAATTCTGAAGGACTTATAATGAAAAAAGCTATCCATTTCCAGAAAAAGAACTGATGGAGTCTGAATGCAGACTGAAGTATTTTTTAAAAACTTTTTTTTCCTGTTTTTGGAAGGTCTGTTTTTTTTATTTTTTTTGCTTGCAACATGGCTAGTTGGAAATGTTTTGTGTAACTGTACGTGTACTATCAATATAAAATTGCTTGCCTTATGGAGGGGGAGTGGATAGAGAGATAGATTCTGGAACTCAAAATTTTAAAAAACAAATGCAAAAAATTGTTTTTACATGTAATTGGGAAATATGTATGTGCATATATATTTCCCAATTACATTTTAATCCTGTTTGTGGCATCCACAGTTCTCTGATATGTAAAACTTAATAGATTGGATAGGACTCCTGGGAATCTCATTATCAGGAAATTCATCATCCTAGGAGATTGAATCAGTCTTGGTACTCATAAATCATTACCCTCTACTGTTCTCTGTTTGGAGAGCCTGAGGGTGGAGCAAAAGAATGCTTCCAAAGCTTCTATTTAAAGAGAGTTTCTAAGCACCACATCTCTTCCTTTCCCACATGTTGCATTCCTTTGGGCTGGGGCTTTTTGAACAGGCCCCTGCAGTTAAGGAGTGGTGGGGGAGGAGATTCTCTTTTTTTTCGGCTTCCTTTTGTGTGTGTTTCTTCCCCCATTAGATTGTAAATTCTTTGAGGGCAGGGACCGTCTTCCTTTTTGTATTGTATCCCCTCCACTTAACACTGTGTATAGCACTTAATAGATGCTTAATAAATGTTTACTGACTGAATGGCTGACAGATTTGGAGGATGGTGAGAGAAAATGAAAACCCTAAGATGTTACAGAGATTCTGAGCCCGGGTGACTGGTGAGATGGTGCCCTTGACAATAAGAGGGAATTTTCAGAAGAGGGTAGGGTTTCAGAAAGGGGGAGATAATGAGTTCCATTTTAAGTTTGAGATATCAATAGGATATACAGTTCAAAACGTCCAGTAAGCAGTCACAGCTTTGAGACTGGAGATCAGGAGAAATTAGGGCTGGCTAACTGGATCTGAGAATTATCTGCATAGAGATAATAATTAAATCCTCCCTTTTTGCTTTCTCTACTTCCCGTATTTTCTCTGTACAACTCAACTTCCACTTAGCTGTCAAAATCTTCCCAAAGCACAAGTTAGATCCTGTCCCTCTTCTACTTAAGATTCTTCATTGGTTGTGGGCGTGATTCTGAAGAGGTCTAGGGGTTTTGGGGTGCTGGGACCCAAGATTGTGGTACCGGGCCCTGCCTGAAAGAATTCAACTCAAATCTTCTTCAGCCAGAGGAAAAGTTTATTAGTGGTAAAACATATAGTCCGGGTGACACCCGTAAGGAGGAGCGGGCATGAGAGGTTCTCAGCCTTATGGGCCTGAGATTCTCAGCCAGGTGACACCTGTAAAGACTAGCAGGCATGAGAGGTTCTCAGCCTTGTGGGCCTGAGATTCTCAGCATCTGAATGAGGGCCAAGGTGGATCTTGAATACTAAAGTAACTTTGGGTGGTCAGAGAAGGGGTTTGGGAAAAGGGTCTAGGTAAGAATTCTAATTGGGGAGGTCAGAGAGATTGAATAGACAATGGGAATAGCTAATGGAGGGAACAGGAAGGCAGAAGTTTGAAAGGTATCTGCACAAAATCAAGGTGGGGCTAGGACTTTCAAAAGGAGATAAAGGAGGGCCTTTCTGGGGCCTATAGGCAAAAGGGAGCCAGATTGTTTTAGGGCGCATCTGAGTAAGATTAAAAGGTAAGGCTAAGGCTTTCTAAGGGAGATGAGGGTCTGGGGCCTGTGAGTCAGATTACCTTTGGGGCAAAGGTTTGGGCTGCGCCCCCTTCAGATTCTACTCTTTGGCTTTTAAAATTCTTCACATTATCTCTAAGTTCTAGCTGAACTGGCTTGTTTGCTCTTCGTGAAATTGGCATTCCACTTCTCACCTTAATGTCTTTGTGTGGACTTTCCCCCATCCCTGGGATATACTTCCTCGTCATTCCTGACCCCTAGAATCCCTAGCTTTCTTCAAACCCAGCTATTATACCATCACCACTGGAAGCTTTTGCTGATTTCCCCTGATTGATAATGTGCTCCCTCTCTCTCTCTTTGTACTCCCCTCTCCCTTCCTCTCCCCTCAAATTAACTTGTATTTACATATTTTTGAATATCTTGTATTCTCTCAATACAAGCTCCTTGAAGACAGAGATTGTTTTTCTTTTGTCTTTGAAGTCAGGTGACCTGGGTTTGAATCCTGCCACAGAGTTGTGTAATGCTGGGCAAGTCATTTTCTTTTACACCCCGTAAATCTGTCAGCTTGAAAGGCTGTGATTTTTGTTAGTTAGGGAGGCTTCCCAGGGTGGGAATACTCTCAGCTCTTGTAGATTTCAGCCTGTTTACAAGTTGTAGGCAGTTATTTTAAGGTTAAATACAATGTAAAGGTTAAAATAATAGCAGTTAAATCAGATGTAAAATTATCTGTAAAATGAGGATAGTAATACTTTCACTACTTAACTTTACAGAGTGGTGGTGAAGAAAAAAAGCATTTTGCAAATCTTAAGTCTTATACAGCACATTATTACTAAATGAATGAAAAAGCATTTATTAAGCAGTTTTTACCGTATGCTGAGCACTGTGTTCAATAGTGGGGATATAAATACAAAATCAAAGACGGTCTCTGCCCTGAAGACACCATTGTAATGGGGGAGATTTTGGGGGGAGTGTTTATCCAGGGAGGGCTGTCAGTACTTTGGTCCAAAAAAGTTACAGGGATAGTGAGTAGGGCCTTAGGGAAGTAGATTTATATCCCAGCCAGGATTAACAGTAGAGTTGGTTTAATCATGGTTCGTAGTGTCTAGAAGGTGGTGAAGGGGGAAGGGAGGTAGAAGTGGTAGGGGGAAAAGTATATGCAAAAGCATTAGGCATGGGGGGCAAGTCTGTTGGTGAAGAGGCTATGAAGAAGGTGATTAGAAAAGAGGGACTGAAGGGGAAGCATGGTTGGTCCTTTCCTAAGTTGGTAGTCTGGTAGAAGCAATTACCAATCAGGAGAATGAGGCCACGGGAGGAAGTTCCTCCCTAGGCTAATAAAATGATTGTTAATGAAATAATATATTGTTATAGTCCTGTAAAAATAAAATATGAAGAACATAAGGAAGAATGGAAAGATGAGGTGATATAAAGTAAGATCAGCAGGACACTTTGACTACTATTACAGATATAAAAAAAATGAAAGCAAAGAAGGGGATATAGAATGAACATCTTTTGTTGGGTTCTGTTTTGTTAAATGCCCAGATTTAAGTAAGTTCTTTCTTTTATTCTTTGTTTTGTATATTTATCTGATGACTCATGTTTTACAGTTAATAGGTTTATAACTTTAAAATGTTTGTAAATTTAAAATGTTTAAAAGAAAAGAAAGAATGAATACATCCAGATTCCAAGGAAAAATTCAGTAGTTCTAAACATGGAAGCTTTTGGTTGATCAGATACTGAGAAACTGTTGAATTTGAAAAGACATTCAAAAAGCAGGGTGGAGGCAAAGAGCATAAAACCGTGAATTCGAAGATCGCAATTCTAATCTTGACTCTACTACTAGCTGGCTCTATGTCCTTGGGCAAATTACTTCACGTGAACCCTATGGGCTTCAGTGTCATCCATAAAATGCCCGGGGGGAGGAAGGAAGATTGGACTTGAAGAGCTCCTGGATTCCTTTTCGGGCCTAATATCCTATGAATCTAAAAATTTAGTCAAGTGATTAATCTGAAGAGGAAAGAGAAGGAAAAAAAATCTCCCCCTCCATGTGATGTTTTCGACGTAAAATGCCGTGTCCTATATCTAAGCTGTAATGCTGTGTGGGCTCTTTTGGACAGATGCAAACTACAACAGGGAGGAAAGAACATCAGATAGTTAAGAGCATTAGATCCTAATGGTTTCTTTTAAGGTGCTGAAAAGATTTCCTTCCATTCTTAAAATTTTCCCAGGTAAACTTTGAAGAATTTAAAGAAGGACTTGTGGCTGTATTGTCATCAGATATCGATGTCAGCACCTCTGATGAAGATAGTAGCTACTTGGAACCAGGTGAGAATGTGCCCCACATTTGTCTTTGACTTGTTTTCGTTCTTTGTTGTTGCATTTTGAGGCATGGTGTCTTAAGGAAAGAGCGCAGCCCTGGGGTGCAGGAAATCTTTGTTCTGTTTCCTTGGCTATCCCTGACTAGTTGTGTTGTGTGACTTTAATTAAGGCATAACTTTTGTATTTTTTCATTTCTTTATACATAAGATAGAAATACTTTCCTTATGTACCTCAAAGGATTGTTGTGAGGATTGAATAAAATAATGGATATGAAATGACTATTCAACAGAGCTTATGGTATGAGAGGAGAGATACTGGTTCTTTAGTTGACAGTTCAGTCATTTTAAATTAATTCAGTAGAACCCTGTAAAGGGGCAGCTAGGTGGATAGAGCACTGGCCCTGGAGTCAGGAGGACCTGAGTTCAATTCTGGCCTCAGACACATGATAACTTCCTAGCTATGTGACTCTGGGCAAGTCACTAAACCCCAGTTGCCTCACTTTAAAAAAAAAAAAAAAGAACCCTGTAAGGATTCTAGTCTTGGTAAGGGACAGATAGTACCATTCTTATGGGTTTCCCATGTTCAGATTAGAGTAATACTGTGTTTTAATATGTATTTGGGAGAGGGAAGTGGTTCAGCTTATGATATAACTAAATATGGGGTGTAGTGACCTACTTTATTACAAGATTTGACTGTAGTTTATTTGCTTCTAAGGTAAAATGATATATATTCTTATGATATGATTTCTGAGAGGCAGCATGGCCGAATGCCTTTAATAGACATCCATAAAGTCAAAATGCTCACTTCTCTGTTGAAAAACTCTGTGGCCTGGGCAAATTCTTAGTCTGTTTGAAGCTGCCCTGATATTGAAAGAGACAATGATTCTTCTTGCAATATGTGTGCTAAATTACAGCAGGGTTCATTCTCTTTCCACTGTTTCAGACAGAAAACTTGGAAGAAGATGATTGCTATCTGCAAGGGCTAACATTTGGCTGAGAGATTTCCCTTCTTTTGCTAGGCTAAAAAGGATAGAACTGGGAATAATAGAAGTTGCAAGAGGAAAGCTTAGGTTTGATATAAGGAAAATTTTCATGACAGAGAGATTCTCAAGTGCAGTGAGCTACGTAGGGAGGTAGTGAGTTTGCCATCATCGGGAATCTTCAGGTAAAGGCTGGATAGCTCGTCATTAGGGATCATAATAGACAGCATGTGGTGACAATGTCTAGTCCAACCCATGCCCCTCAAAAGAATGTTTACTACAGCATACCCAATAAATGGCTATCCAGCCTCTGCATGGAGCCCTTTAATGAAGGGATACCTATGGCCTCTCAGTTTCTCCTTTCCTCTAACCTAATTTGCCTCTTTGTAACTTCTCCCGGTTGCTGTTCTGTATGGGGTCATACAGAGCAGGTCTTATCATCAGTCCCCATGAAAAGTCTTTCAGATACCTGAAGATTAGAGATCATGCCCCCTCCCCAAACCCTGTAGAGTTTTCTCGAGCTTAAGCATCCCCAGTGTTTTCACAGAATCTTTAGATGCCACGACCTTGAGTTCCTTCTTCCATTGTATTGTGAGCTCATTGAGATCAGGGGCTGTCTTTTGCCTCTTTTTGTATTCCCAGTGCATATAGTGGGTGCTTAATAAATGTTTAACTATCCTTGACTGTTAACTTTTCCATCTTTGTTACCATCCTTTGGACTCTCTCCAACTTATCGGTTTCTTTCCTGAAATGTGGTGCCCACAGTGTTCTAACCAGAACAGAATACAGAAAGATTCTAATCTTATTCCTGGGATCTGTGTAAAATTGTAAGGTAGATTCTTGTTCAGGTAGAGATTAGACTAAATGATCTCTGAGGTTCCTTTCAGCTTTGAGAGTCTGTGATTCTGAGAGGATCCTACTATCTTCACCAATTTTAGACTTTTGGAAACTGCGACCAGGTTGGTAATGTCAATAGGACAGAACTAGCCTCTAACCTGTGGGGTCACCAGGGCCAAACAGAGCAGGCTAAAGAGAGGAGAGTCAAGAATCAAACACATTTAATTTTTTTTTAAAATATTTTTTAGGCAACTGGGGTTAAGTGACTTGCCCTGGGTCACACAGCTAGTAAATGTCAGGTATTTGGTCTGAGGTCAGATTTAAACTCAGGTCCTCCTGACTTCAGGGCCGGTGCTCTATCCACTGCACCACCTAGCTGTCTCAGCAATTTAATTTCAAAGTGAGGGAAGTGGCTTGCAAGCAAGGGCTCCTGCTGGAGCCCCACCCCTAGTGGGGGGAACCCGAGGCAGTGTGGGGAAATCTCAATACTTATATCTATGGTTGCACAGTGAGCTGTAGCCTTGACAATGAGGGGTAACAGTAACAATGTGACAAGTTTGATACATAGCAGGGCTTCATGACCAGAACTTGTCCAAGCTCAGAAAATGCCTGGTGCTGGTCAAAGCAATACAATAATTACATGAAATAGTTCTGGGATTTTGCTGTGGCTGAATTCATCCAGAGGGTTAGTGCAAAGGATTGTTGTTCTGCCAGGCTCTCAGGGCACGGCTTGTTTGCTGGGCCTTAGCTCTGGAAAATAGGGTATCCTAATATCTTGACAGTAAATAAGATGTTAAATGAAATTCTACTCAATGTCATTACTTCATTGTGCAGTTAATCTTTTTTCGGCTTCACTCTCCTAGTTGCAAATACTTGTTATCATCCAAATTCTAGAATAATGTAATCTGTTAGAGAAGACAGCATGGGCCTCTGAATCTCGTATCCTTGATTCTAATTTTGGCCATAACACTGAGTATCTGTGTGAGTTGAACTAAGTCGTTTAATATCTTTGTGCCTTAATTCTTCAGTTTGGGAAATATCTGTCATAATATACACAATATACACCTCCACCTGATAGGAATACTGAGAAGAATAATGAAAATCAGTTTGTATTCCCCTTCCCCTCCCCCCAGTGAGAAATGAGGAGTGGGAAGATGTTAACATTCATATGGTGTGTGAAGGAAGATAGGAAGTTAGGTCTATGATATATTAACAGGAAGTCTGGGAAAAGGTGAATTCATTGCCTTGCTGAGTGCTTTGCATCATCTTGGAGTAAAGAAGGCTTGATCTAGAGTGATGAAAGAAAAATATGGGAGTGCACTGACGTGGAAATCCCCACATAAATAAACATACAAAGTACTGGGCTAGGTCCTGAGGGAGATATAAAATTTAGATAAGACACTGACCCTTCCCTCCTGGAGTTCACAGTCTAGTTGGGAAGACTAAAAGGTAACTTGGATCATGGAAAGCTTTTTCCTTTTCTTTTTTTGCTGAGACAATTGGATGATTGGGGTTAAGTGACTTGACCAGGGTCACGCAGCTAGTAAGTATCTGAGGCTGGATTTGAACTCAGATCCTCTTGACTCCAAGGCCAGAGCTCTGTTCATTATGCCACCTAGCTGCCCCTCATGGGAAGCTTTTTGAAGAAGGTAGCATTCAATTGGGTTTTGAGGGATAACTGGGACGTATGAAACTTGGCAACAAGATGACCAGCAAGAAGGTGACCTGTGGGGGCAGCTTACTAGCTGTATGACCCTGGGCAAGTCATTTAACCCTGATTGCCTCACCAAAAAGCAAAAAAAAATTAAAGTATGAAAATGACAAGCAGCTAGGTGGCACAGTGGGTGGAGCACCAGCCCTGGAGAACCTGAGTTCAAATGCGGCCTCAGACACATAACACTTAGTAGCTGTGTGACTCTGGACAAGTCACTTCATCCCAATTGCCTCCCCCCCCAAAAAAAAAAAACAAAAAACAAAAAACAAAAAAACTGAGGATGACCAGGGAGGAAGTGGTGCGCTACTAGAGCCTTCTGATGAATGGGCCATCTAGGTATTCATCAAGCAGGAGGCAGAGGGGTGGGGTGAGGCGGGCCCCAAGTTCCGGGCCTGAAAGGAACACAATGTGAGGTTCAGATGTCTCGTGAGAAGAGAGCCTAATGTAAATGTAAAATGGCTGGAGTCAGTGATGCCAAAAGCTACAGGTCAAGGACAGCATGGACTGAGGACAGGTCATCAGATGCAGCAGTTAAGAGATCGCAGATATCTTTTGACAGAGCAGTTTCAGTCAAGTATATGTGCTTCCCCAGACTGTTAGGTCCTTAATGGCATATACTGTTTTCTCTCTCTCTCTCTCTCTCTCTCTCTCTCTCTCTCTCTCTCTCTCTCTCTCTCTCTCTCTCTCTCCTCCCTCCCTCCCTCCCTCCTCCCTCCCTCCCTCCCTCCCTCCTCCCTCTCTCTCTCTCTCTCTCTCTCTCTCTCTCTCTCTCTCTCTCTCCCCTTCCTTTTCTTTCTTCCTCAGAGTCCAGCAAAGGCTTGGTACATAGTAGGTGCTTAATAAGTGCCTACTGACAGACACTTGACACAGCTGTGTGACCCTGGGCAAGTCACTTAACCCCAACTGCCTCAAAAAAAAAAAATGCTTATTGATTGATAGAATTTGTGGGGGCCAGAAGCCAGATTGCCAGGGGTTGAGAAGTAAGTGGATTATGAGGACAAGGCAGACTGGTACAGATTACTATTACTAGGAATATAGCAATGAAAAGAAAAAGAGATACAGGATGGGATGGTAGGATTTTTAAGGGATGGGAAGCTCTTCAGAGGTTTGTTGCTATCACTATCATAATCTAATTTGAATTTTTTTTTGTTGTTTCTGTAGATTTTCAAAATTATCCACAGTTAAGTGGCTCAAATGCTGTGCCTGATGCTCTACCCCTCAAACCAGCTGAGGATGAATTTCCCAGCACTCAACTGTGTGCCCCTGTTCAAAAAGGTACTCCTGCTGAACTCCCACTTAGTTCTAGGCCTGATTTGAAATTGTTTCCCCAAGTCAGGGCTAATTACAAAACAAAACAGGGGAGCTAGGTGGCACGGTGGATAGAGCACCAGCCCTGGAGTCAGGAGGATCTGAGTTCAAACCTGGCCTCAGATACAACACTAACCTGCTGTGTGATCCTGGGCAAGTCACTTAACCCCACTCATCTCCTTTATGACTTCTTGGTCTCCCCTCCCCCATCTTCTGCACCTTGTCCTTGCTCTTTTACTTCCCTTATCCTTCACATCCTTTTGGCATGTTTTTTGCACTTCCAGCTCCACCCCTTCAGAGCCCACTCCTTCTTAAGAAACCTTGTCCTGCCCCCTACCCAGCCCCTCTGTACCTTTCCTGTTTTCTTATCTTCCATTCCCTTTACTTTCTGCCATTATTTTGTACCTCTGTGAAGAGACTGAATATTATTCCAAAGCTTAGAAAACTAAGGGGTGCCTACTGTATGGCAGTAGCATATTTAGGGCTTTAAGTTTGCAAAGCATTTTACATAAATTGTCTCATGCGATCCTCATAGCAGTTTTGAGAGATAGGCACTGTAGGTGTTGTTATTTCTGTTTTACAGTTAAGGAAAACTGAGGCTTAAAGATAGGTAGTGTCAGAGGAGGGAATAGAGCCCAAGGTTTTCTAGGCTCCAAGTCTGGCACTCTCCTGTCGGGCCTGTGCTACAGAAAGATGATCCCTGTAGTTGAATCCACATTATATATTAAATTATATTACACGTACACATACATACACATACACAAATGAAGGCAGTGTCACAGTTGGGAAAGGATCAGATTTTGATTGATGGAAAATAAGAAGTATACTTTTGGAAATGACTAGTATGGGAATTTGTTTTGCTTAATTTGTTTCACTTAACTGTGCTTATGTGATAATGCAGTTCATTCGTTTCCTTCCTTACTTCCTTCCTTCCTTCCTTCCTTCCTAGTGGGTAAAAGGAAGTGAGAGGAACAAAAAGGTGAATTTAGATAACTGAAAAATAAAGAGATATTTATTTTTAGAAAGGACCAAGCTTTGTTAGGAGACTGGAGCTCTAGTCCTGCTTGGTTACTCATAGCACTCACTTACTGTGTGACCTTAGAGAGTCCCCTTTATCTCACTGAGCCTTGGTTTCCTAATATGTCAAATGAAGGATGCAGCCGTGCTAGTCTCTATGGTCCTTTGCAGATTTAAAATTCGGTTTTGGTCTAACAATTGAGAATATGGTAGAATTGCCTCCTCCTGTACAGCTCATTCTTTCTCTGTTCTCTTGTGTGATCGTGTACATTAAAGTGATGCATATTAATATTGATTCAGAGCTGAAAGGGACCTCAGAGATCTCCTGGTCCAACGGCTTCATTTTAAAGATAATGAAATTGAGACACAGAGAGAGGTTAAGTGTCTGGCCTTAAATTCATGCAACTATCAAGAAACAGAGAGGATTTTTAAAAAATTAATTTATTTATTTTTAGTTTTCAGCATTCACATTTATAAGATTTTGAGTTCTAAATTCCCCTTCCCCTCCAAGAGAGAAGATTTTAACCTGTATCTTCTAATTCTTAAGTCCAGTACTCTTGTCACTACCCCAGCTGCCTCTCATTTTTCAAAAACATCTGGCCATGAAAGAGGGAGGTGATGTTTTTCTGTACTGTTCTGATGAGATTGAGTGTGAAATGTTATGGAAAATATGTGGATTTTTTGGGCAACTCATTATCATAAGAAGATAATTGACTGTCTGGCAAGGGTGGGCAGGGCTAGGGAATGAAAGTACGGGAAGAAAATTGAAACTGAAAAGCATAAAAAAACCTGGCTTGCAATGGGATGTTTTTAGATAATAGATCATTCTCCAATTGCAGAAGTACTAATACTTCAAACTTTGGAGATGAGTTTAGATTCATTACGAGGGAACAAAATCAAATGTGTTGCCAAAATTAGATTGCCTCACGAGTCTATTTCCCTAGTACTTTTAGCGATTCACAAGGGCCTTGTATAACACTGCCCTGTTTTCTTTCCCATGAGCCTCCTACACCTTTGCTGTCCCACTTGACATTTGACTTCCTTTTATTTATAATTCCTCTTACTCATATAAGGAAGTTTACAACTCAATAAGCATAAAGGATTTCACCACATTTGAAAATAATCAGCTAGCCATCTCTTTTTTTCTTGACATCTAAAGTCAAATCCGATTACAGATTCTACAAGGTTGATAGCATTGGATAGCCTGACCATGTCATCCACTTGCTCAAAAACCTTTGCTTGCAAGGTTTAAAGAAACAAAACAAAACAGAGTAAATGACTTGACCAAGGTCACACGGGTAATCCACAGCCTTAGCTCAGTAATTACCTTCTATAACCTGGTTGTAACCTCCCATACCAGTTTTGCTTCATATTATTTCTCTTAAAGAACTCTGTATTCCATCAACACTGGGTTTAGCTCTTCCCTAATCTCATCCCACCTTCTCTCATCTTTGAATAGGTGGTTCCTCAGGTTTAGAATCCACTCTCTCCACATCTCTACCTTTTGAAATGTGTTTCTTTTTTTCTTTCTTTTCTGTTTTTTGGCTAGGCGATGGGGTGAAGTGACTTGCCCAGGGTTACACAGCTAGTAAGTGTCAAGTGTCTGAGTCCGGATTTGAACTCAGGTCCTTCTGACTCTGAGGCCAGAGCTCTATCCACTGCGCCACCTAGCTGCTCCTCTTGGCAAACTTCTAAAGTTATACGTCATTTTCTTTTTTTTGAGAATTAAGAGGAGTTTATTAAAATTCGTCAATGTAGCAATATGTTGATAGGCTGATCACTGGGGATCAGCCTTTGGTCCTATTTTGAAGGTTTTTTGTTTTTATTTTGCTACCAAGAGACTTTAAAGAGGCATTATTTGGGAATGTATGGGCCCAGATACTTTTTTTTTTCCCCTTTAAAAATATTTCTCAAGTTTCCTGATTTTTCTTCCTAGCTGGCACAGATGACGTTCAACCAAAATATGTGAATGGAGCCAAGCGTTATGGTCGTCGGTCCCAACCAGAGGTACGAGATCCTGAGACTGAAACCAAGTTTTTGCAAGAACAGCAAGTAAATGCCAGTGTGAAAAGCCCACTGAGGCGCTCAGCCTCTCTGGAGAGTGTCGAGGTGGGTTCCATCAGGCAGTCCTTTCTTCTCCTCAGTTACTCGGTATTGGGCTAATCCTGCCTCAGTGATTGTCACAGCTGCCAAAGGCCCCCTTAGAGCTGGGAGTCAGGGAGGCATGAAAGTTCTGCTGTGAATCATCTGACTGGTCACTTCCATTCTCATTCATTGTACAATAACTGGATCCACAATTAAACCTCAGGTGCTAAAGAAATCGTGGGAATGCCTGGTGGTTATAGCTTCATAACAAGTGATTTTAAAGTACAGAAGGCTAGACTTGCCATACCTTGATCACATAGAACACATGAGGGCATGTACTTCCAACCTGTGGGTGAGCACCAGACATTTACCACTGACTTTGGCTTTCAACTGGCAAAGTGAATAATTCAGATCCTCCCAAATCCACCTGAATTGTCCTGTTTGGCCATCATGTGCTGATCCAGTTAAGAGCCATGTGGTAGAATGGAAAGGGTACTAGATTGGGTGTCAGAGGTCCTCAGTCTCTGTCCCTGAGGAAATTATTAAAGGCCTATGACCATGCTGAAAAGATAAATTGTATTTTATTAACTAGAGTTATTCATATACCAGCAGTGGACAGGATAAGAATGTAAGAAATGCCAAATGGTCATAGACCAGCACTGACTGAGTCTACCATGCTGGCTTTGATGATGGAACTAGGGGTAAGGAACCTGGGTAATTAATTCCCTCTGTGTCTTGACATCCAAAGGTTATGGTAGAGCCAGGGATATTCTGTAAAAAACTTAGGAATAGACAACTATGCTTTTGGAACATTGCATATATTGTCAGACTCTGTTATTGTGTGACCCTTTCATTTTTTAAATTAGGAAACTGAGGCCCACAGAGATTAAGTAACTTGCTCAAAGTCATCTAGATTAGGAAGTGGCAAATGCATAATTTGAGTCCAGGTACTCTGACACTGTGCTGTATACCAGCTCCTCTCTTTAAATCGGATGCTCTTTTCTTTGCATCATACTGCTTCTACCTTTGCCCTCTCTAGCTGTCCTAATTGAATCTTCTTTCTACTAAATGTTAATACCTGAGGGGCAGCTAGGTGTTGCAGTGGGTAGAGGCCAGGCCTTGGAGTCAGGAGGACCTGAGTCCAAATGTGGATACTTGATACTTCCTAGCTGTGTGACCCTGGGCAAGTCACTTAACCCCATTGCCTAGCCAGAAGAAAAGAAACACATTCCAAAAGGTAGAGATGTGGAGGGGGTGGATTCTAAACCTGAGGAACCACCTATTCAAAGAGGAAAGAGGGTGGGATGAGATTAGGGAAGAGCTAAGCCCGGTGTTGATGGAATATAGAGTTCTTAAAGAGGGATAATATGAAACAAAACTGGTATGATAGGTTACAGCCAGGTTGTAGAAGGCCTTAATTGCTGAGCTAAGGCTGTGGATTACCCGTGTGACCTTGGTCAAGTCATTTACTCTGTTTTGTTTTGGTTTGTTTCTTTAAACCTTGCAAGCAAATGCTTTTGAGCAAGGGGATGACATGGTCAGGCTATCCAATGCTGTTAACCTTTTGGAATTTAATACCTGCGTCTCCTCTTCTGACGTCAAGGCCAGGGTTTTACCAGACTATGTCTCTAACCCATGCTGTCTCTAACAGAGTTAAGTGTAATCTTGGGTACTTAAGAGAGGCATAACTTCCAGTAATAAAGGCAGGGGGAAGATGGTAAATATTTAACAATTGGCTCTCTGTAGGGGAGCAGGGGAGGAGTGTGTGCACAACAGATTTTTAACTGCATTATTAACATTTTCTCCATCTCTTTCTCAAGTCTAGAAAATCAACAGAATAATAAATCAATTCCTGATTTGTAGCATTTGCCGATTTCTGTGTTATGTACTGTGGGAAGTCTTGTTAAATTTGAGGCCCTAAGGCAGGGGTTCTTGACCTGGGGGTCCATGTACTTGTGTTTTGGTTTTGTTTTGTTTTTAGTATTTTGATTACTATATTTCAGTATATTTGGTTTCCTTTGTACTCTTCTGCATTTTATTGTCTGCATTTAAAGAACATTTTTCCGAAAGGGGGTCTATAGGCTTCACCATGGACAAAGGGTCCATGATTCCTTGTTGTTCAATTGTATTCGACTCTTGGTGACCCCATTTGGAGTTTTCCTGGCAGACGTGTTAGAATGGTTTGCCATGTCCTTCTCCGGCTCATTTTATAGATGAGGAAATGGAGATAAACAGGGTTGAGTGACTTGCCCAGCTATTAAGTGTCTGAGGCCAGATTAGAACTCAGGAAGATGAGTCTTGCTGACTCCAGGCCCAGGGCTCTACCTGCTGTGCATACCTAGCTGCCTTAGGTACAAGATACCAAAAGATTAAGCACTCTTTCTCTAAGGCAATCTTAACAAAGAGTAAAGGAAATACTGGCAAAGATTTGAAATTTCATTCTTGTTCTCTGAAACCACTTAATTGATTTGTTTAGGTTTGACTTCCTTGCATAATAGACTTTCCCCACAATTAAGCCACAGTGCATTTCTCTGTAGTGTTTTCTTCACATAGACATTCTCTTTATTAATTTTTTCACAGAGTCTCAAGTCAGATGAAGAAGCTGAAAGCGCTAAAGCACCTCAGAATGAGACTTTTGAAACACAAGGTAAGAATAAAGCTCGTTGCCTCTTTTGTAACACATTGGCCAGTGTTTGCTTTGAGAGGACTAAGGCAGGGAGTGCTCCAATCAGTCCTTCAAGACTGTCCCCCTAGCTACACCTCAGGGTGAGATGAGAGTACGGTAAGTCCATCTGATATTTGTTGTTCAGTATTTTCAGTCGTGTCTGACTCTTCAGGAAGGAATCCATATGGGGTTTTCTTGGCAGAGATACCGGAGAAGTTTGCCGTTTCCTTCTCCTGCTCATTTTACAGATGAGGAAACTGAGACAACAGGGTTAAGTGACTTGGCCAGGGTCATACACTTAGTAAAGTGTCTAAGGCCAGATTTGAACTCAGGAAGAGTCTTTCTGACTCTAAGCCCAGCACCAAGCTGCCCCTTTGATTTATCCAAGGGGAAAATATTAGCAGGCTTTGCATACCTTTGCATGAAGGGTGCTCTAGATACACCCTAGTCAACCAAAGGAATAGAAAACTTCAGAATGTCATTCTTGCCCTCAAGGAGCTTATAATCTAGTTAGGGAGATAGTAACATATATGAAATAATAGTAAAGAGTATAAGCTAGTATATCATTAAATGTTAAAATTATTTGATACAAAATCTAATTCAGTTCAATAAACATTTATTAGGCACTATGTGCATGGTATACACACAGTGGGAATTCAGTGGAGAAAAATATTGAAGAGGGAAGACTCCATAGAAGAATGAGATTTAGGTTGAACCTTAAGTGATGGGTAGGATTTAGATAGGCAGACAACAGCTAGGGACACTTTTGTAATGGGAGAAGCAACCTAAGTGAAAACATGGAAGGAGGTGCTAGCATTGGCATGTTGATAACGCAGTAAACAGATTAATCTAAAGTGGAAGGGAGAGTGTTAGGACATAAAGAAAAATAAGGTTGGGTAGATAGCATGGACTATTTATGGGGGACTTTGAAAGACAGGCAGAAATATTTAAGAGGTAGAATTTGGGCTGATACAGTAAAATAGGAAGCCCTTGAAGCTTTGTGAGTATAGGAGGGACGCAAAGAAAGAGTTTTTGGAGGAAGATTAGTTTAGGGTGCATGTGTGGGATGCATTGGAGAAAGCCAGTATAACTCAGGCTGCTGAAATCTTTTGACTTTAAAGAATTAATATTATAGCACGGAAGCTTTGCCTATGGTACAGTGGCCATACTGCATCTAAAGGGAGATAGATTTACTGAATGCTCTGAGGACATGGCTTCCTTCTTGGGGAAGACCAGTGAAATAAAAACTGGTTATAAAACCACTGAAGACATGTACATTTCCTCAAGGTGACTGTCAGCAGAATTTGATTCCAAAGGGATATTTTAAAGCTGTGATACAGATAATTATGGCCATCAGCTTAAAAGGTCTTTTTTTTTTTTAAGGCAATTGGGGTTAAGTGACTTGCCCAGGGTCACACAACTAGTAAGTGTCAAGTATTTGGTCTGAGGCTGGATTTGAACTTGGGTCTTCCTGACTTCAGGGCCAGTGCTCTATCCACTGCACCACCTAGCTGCCCCTAAAGTGATCACCTTTTTGTTTTTTGTTTTGTTTTTGCTGAGCAGTGGGGTTAAGTGACTTGCCCAGGGTCACACAGCTAGTAAGTGTTAAGTGTCTGAGGTCAGATTTGAACTCAGGTCCTTCTGACTCCAGGGCCAGTGCTCTATCCACTGCATCACCTAGCTGCCCCTTAAAAGGTGATAAGACCACTGGACCATTCAAGAGGTGTTTATAGATCCCAGAGTATTAATACTTAAAGGGAGTTTAGAGATAATTTATTCCACATTGCCTCTCTTCCTCCCCTCCCTCAGTTTCATAGTTGAGGAAATCTGAGCCTGAGACTTAATGACTTAATCAAGGTCACAAAGCTAATAGACTTCATTCAAGTCCAGTGTTTCTTGTTTGTTTGTTTTACTACTACAGGTTATCTGAGCCAGGTTTTCAGAGGTTTCTGTAACAAATACCAGTCCAACTAATGTTGGATTTGTAACTTGAACCAGCCTTACTCTGTCTTATCGAATACAGGCCATCAAGGACTAATGAACATCAGTGCTGCATATTTATCTTCTCTCCATGTTGATGGACACCTTGGGGTTACCTCCTGACAGCAGTCCTGTAGAGGAGAAGGAGAAGCCTGGCCGAAGAGCACAGGCAAAGTGACACTAAACTTGAATTTTCTCTGAAATTAAAAATTAGGCACCATTAGCATACTCTCTTATTTGTGTTCCTGTAAAAGTCAGACTTCTTTGAGTAAGAAAAAAAACAGTCCAATCCACATTTATTAGGAAGCCTAACTATGTGCCAGGCAGCGTAAGTACTGAGGATAAAATTAATAAAAAGAAAGTCAGTGTCTGTCCTCAAAGAGCTTACAATCAGATGGGGGAAGACAGTACATAAAAGGAGGTTGGAAAATAGAGGAAGGAGACCAGGCAGAGAAGCAGATATAAAGTGGAGTGAATCAAAAAATCCAGTCTCTGCCCTCCATCAAGGTATTGGGAGAAGTTTGGTATGCCACTCGCCAACCCTCCAGGACAGAGGACAGAAGACAGAGGAAGATGAGGGAGGTAGTATCAGTCAAGGTTTCAGTTAGCAGCCTGGTGATGAGATTAGAGGTGATGAGCCTAACCAGGGAGAGACATCTTGTTCCTTGGAGTTGAAACCTGGCAGGGCAGCAGATCCTGAGTGAAGTGAGAAAAAAAAGGAAAGGGAGACCTCTTCCACTCAGTATTTCAGTAGATGTTTCCACTTAAACCAGGCATGCTAGAAGAAGGCCATTGTTTGAGAGGATTTCAGTCACGAAGCTGACCACACCCTTAAGAGAAACCCAGCCCCAAAACACTTAAGTGACCTTTACCTGAGGAACAGGTTTAGATTTGTTTTAAACTGGTTCCTTTACAGCCTTGTAAGGGAACCTTCACCTCTTAGCTCAGAACTGACAGCAAGACTACTAATGTGCTAATGCTCAGATGGAACTACAGAATAATTAGATGTTTCTTTGTTTTTTAAAAAACTTGTCTTTGTACCAACCCTGGGAAATAAATCCCTAATCCTCAGTGCTTTGGAAATTAAAATTTTAGACCTGGAAAGAACCTGAGAGATCATTTAGACCAATTTGTATCCTTTCCATTTTTTTTAAATCCATAAAGTTCAGTGTTACTTGTGTATATCCAAATAGATTTAATTTTCTTAGTACTTAGATGCAGTGTGTCTACGTAACTCAGACCATGGAGTGCCTTCACTGGACACATTCAGATCACTCAGGCAGAAGTAGGGCTTGGAATCTGATGGTTTGGCATGCTGCCTCTGTTCTTGCTTCACTCAGCAGGCCTAGCCTGAGCCCACATAACTGATGTTCTCAGGAGCGGTTGTATGCAGAAACAATTTGTAAGATATATAGCTTTCCTTCACACATACATCCTAATATGTCTGCAGCCTTTGTGTTCTCCTAAGATACGTACAGTACCCTGTGACCAAATTGACCTCTCAGACACCGATGGGTAAAATCAGAGGAAAAGAGACATTTTAACAAAAACTTATCTATTTTTAACATGCAGGTAGTTCTTTTTTGTGTGTTTATAATAATCTTACCTATGTGTGGGGGTTTTTTTAGATTTACCGATTTATTTTTTTACATTGCTGTCGTTTCCCAATAATCTTTCACTAATATAACCTTATGTATGTTGGAACAGTGAAGTACAGTGAAACAAAACATATAAAAACATTGGCCATAGTCTGATAGCAGATGCCTTAGCCTGCTCCTATAGTCCACCATCTTTCTATTGAGTAGAGGGAAATATGTTTCATCATCGGTCTGCTGGAATCAGAATTGGTCTCCTTGTATTGATCTGGGTTCTCATCTCTTTTTTTTTTAAGTGTTATTTTCCTTTCCATTACTGTGGTTCTGTAAACTATCCTTTTGGTTCTGCCTTCACATAATTTTGTGCAAGTCTTCTCAAGTTTCTCTGAACTTTTCATGTTCATATTCACTTCTTACATTGTGATAATATTCCATAACATTCATATGCTGTATTTTGTTCCACCATTCCCCAGTCAGTGGGAACTAATTTTGTTTCTAATTGTTTGCTATCCTAAAAAAAGGGTTGCTCTGAATATTTTGGTAACTCTATGTCCGCACTGAGAAAGTTTGTGAAAAGGTTTTTCTCACATTTTAAAATCTCTCAAATATTTACCTGGTTTTACCTTTCTTTGATTTGCAGGCCAAACCTGGAACCCTGAGATATTTGGGAATTTCCCAAAGTCCCCTAATGCTTCCTTAGATGTAACTGAGAACCAGGTGCGGGGAATCTGGGAAGAACTTGGAGTGGGGAGCAGTGGTTATCTAGATGAGGAGGAACTGGAAACAGTTTGTAAAAACATTGGACTGCAGGAACTTGAAAAAGAGGTAAGAGAATCTGATATCGGCTTCACACTGTGATTTGCAAACACATGGCTGGATTCTTGAAGTATTCAAAGTTCTGTTATGTCTCACAGCTCAGAGTGACGTCACAAGTGCAGAGGCCACGTAATAAACCTTGTTTAACCAAAAGAAGGATGTATAGGAATCATAGCTACCTGTGGCTCAGGCATAGAACAAGTTCTGATAAACAATGCAATTAATGTTAAATGCTTGGAGGTAAAAAGTATTATTAAGAAGCCTTGTTGCACAGATGTTTATTGACTTCAGATTATAGAATCATAGATCTAGAGCTGGGAAGGTAGGAGGGACCTTATCAATCATCTAGTCAAATGTCCTTGTGGCGCAGTAAATAGAGCGCTGGGCCTGGAGTCAAGAAGACTCATCTTTCTGAGTTCAAATCTGGCCTCAGACACTTCCTAGCTGTGTGAACCTGGGCAAGTCACTTAACCTGGTTTGCCTGAGTTTCCTCATCTGTCAAATGAGCTGGAGAAGGAAATGGAAAACCACACTAATATCTTTGCCAGAAAATCCTATATGACGTCTTGAAGAGTCAGATATGACTGAAAAGTGACTAAACAACAAAGCTCCTTATTTTTACGGATGACTCAACTGAGGCATTAAGAGATATCTCCAACATTACACAGGCAGTGTGTTGGCAGAGCTGGCATTCAAAGTAAGGTCTTTGAACTCTAAATGTGGCATTCTTTCCACTGTACTGCAATGTAGAGGGTTTTTTTTTTAAAGTTTCTCAGTTTTAGAATTGCATTATGTTATATGATTGTGATAGAATACTATGGGGGTATAAGAAATGATGAGCTGGTTGATTTTAAAAAACATGGAAAGATTTGCATGAAATAATGAAGAGTGAAATCTGCAGGACCAAGAGAACATTTGTATATAGTAACAGCAGTATTGTTCTAAGAACAACTTTGAACAACTAAGTCATTCTGAGTATTATAAATACCCCCCAAAAACCACAGAGGACCTATGAAGGAAGATGCTACCCACATCCAGAGAAAGAACATAAATAGGAATATGTACAGTACGGTTTTACATATTATACGTATTTGTGTCTAATGGTAGCCTTTTCTACTGCAGAGTACGGAGGGAGGATAAAAAGTACCCAGCAGAGGATAAAAGAAAACTTAGACGGAAGCACAGAAAAGCAAAGTAACTTTGAAAATGATTCATGGTAGTTATTATATAGTTTAAGAAAAAAAGCAAATAATGTGAAATGGAAACTTACAGTTTTATACAAAATCCTCTTTTAATGTTGTACATGGAAATGTTCATTTTTATCTTTTTGTATTTAAGTTAAAAATGAATAAAACATTTTAAAAAAGAATTGCTTTTGAGAAGTTTTCTAAGTAAAAAGGAAAATAGGAACCAACTTTTCAGTTAATAGTAGAACATGCTAACTGATTGTGCCACAAAAATTGCCTGTTATAAGGAGTTTCTAAAAGATTTTTTGTAATGGTAAAAACTCAGTAGGCATCATTTTGTTCTGTGGAAATACTTCCCAGTGTTACTACCTGGGTTAGAGGAGAGAGGCAAAAAATCATCCTGACTTCCTAAAACAAACACGGCTGTAACACACAGAGATCTTATTCCTAATTCTGAGTTTCAATATCTTTTCTAAAGGAACTTGAGGATTTGTTTAATAAGCTGGACCGAGATGGTGACGGCAGAGTTAGTTTTAAAGAGTTCCAGCTTGGGGTGTTCAGTCACGGTCCCTGTTCCATCCCTGGATCTTCCACTCCCATCAGACCTAACAACCACTGGCCACATCACCAGGTAAACACTACTAGCTAAATTAGAAGGCTTAAATGACAAAAAACAAAGCTCAAACAAGGGTTCTATACTGTAGGTGACTGAAATTCCCTGGTCATCCGTAATAGCATGCCCATCATAGAACCCTGCAAGATTTTTGATCTTTGTTCATGAGGCACCTGGGAGGCTAGTTGATGGTGTAAGGATTGCCCTGAAATGCAGAGTTTTAGATTTTCAGTAAAATCTTGAAGCAAAAAAGATTAAGCGGCCATGAAGAACTGAGACAATAGAATGATAAATCTAAAACTGGAGGGGGACCTCAGAAACAGCTAGGCTGACTCCCTCATTTTACAGATGAAGAAGCTGAAGCCCAGTTGTGACTTGCCCAAGCTCATACAAGTAGTAACTGTCCAGAGGGAGAGTTGAATCCAGGTCCTTCAAATCTAGAGCTCTCTACAGCAGTACTGTCAAACTCAAATAGAGACGGATCTGTCTGCCAGCATATTGACTTAGAAAACCACAAATTAATGTTCACTATGTTACATTGTGTTTTTATTTGTTTTGATAAATATTTCCCAGTTACATTTTAATATGGTTCACTTGGCTGAGAGTTTGACATCTCTTCTACACTGTATGTGTACTATGTTTACCTTCTAGAAGAAACCTTAAATAAATGTTTATTGAACAATTGATTATTGATTGAGAGCCTAATTCTGGGCTAATTTTAGTAGTCTCAGACAGTTATAAATTCAAAACTGAAAGGGATCTCACAGGTCAATCTAAGATTTAAAAAGGTTTTTTTGTGTCATGTTCCCCTTTGGCAGTCCGATAAAACCTATGGATCTCTGCTTATTGTCAAGTCAAACAAGCATTCATTAAGCCATGTGCTAGGCACTGTGCTAAGTGTTGGGAAATACGAAGAAAGGCAAAAAGATAATCTCTGCTCTCAGATAACAACCAGTCTAATGGGGAGACAACATACATACAACTATGTACAAACAAGATATATAGAAGAGAAGTCAGAGATAATCACAGAGGGAAGGCACTAGCATTAAGGGGGATCAGGAAAGGTTTCTCATAGAAAGTGGGAGGTTTTAGCTTGGATTTGAAGGAAGCCAGGAAGGCCAAGAGGCAAAGATGAAGAGGGAGAGCATTTCTAGGCATGAGCAGCACCCAGTGAAAATCCCAGAGTTGGAAGGTAGAATGTCTCATTCAAGGAACAGCACCAGTGTCATAGCATCAAAGGGTATATGGAAGGGAGTAAGGTGTAATAAGACTGGACAGGTAGGAAAAGGGCCAGGTAATGAAAGCCTTTTAAAAAGCCCCAAGATTTTATTTTTGATCCTGGAAGTGACAGGGAGCCACTGGAGTTCCATGAATGGAATTGGGTGGGTGGGGCCGATACTGTCAGACTTACTCTTTAAGAAGATCAGTTTAAGAAGGATATATCTGAGTGAGGAGATACTTGAGGCAGGGGGGCCAACCAGAAGGCTATTGCAACAGTCCAGGCATGAAGTAATGAGGGACTGTACTAGGGTGGTGGCAATGTCAGGACAGAAGAGGGTGTATGTGAGAGATGTTATGAAGGTAGAACCAATAGGACCTGAGAGCAAATTGGATTTGGGAGGCGAAAGAGGGTGATGAGTCAAGAATGACACCTGGATTGTTGGGTGACCAGGTGAGTGATGGCGCCTTTGACAATAATAAGAAAGTTAGGAAGAAGACAGGGCTGGGGGAAAAGATAATGAGTTCAGTTTGGAGTATGTTGAGTTTAAGCTGTCTGTGAGACAGCTAGTTTGAGATGTCCAATAGGCAGTTGTAGGTGTGAGACTAAGCTTAGGAGAGAAGTTAAAGTAGAGTAATGTGTCTGAGAATCATCGGCATGCAGATAATAATTGAATCCATGGGAAGGGAAGAGTGCTCAGATCAGAGCCTTGGGGGACACTGAAGATTAATGGATGTGACCTAGATGAAGATCCAGCAAAGGTGATTGAGCAGTAATAGCTTCCCAGGGTTGTTGAGAATAAAATGACATCATAGTTGCAGAGTATCTTGCAAGGCTTAAAGCACTACATAATCATGCTGACTATCCTCCTGCTTATTATTATGGTTTTGATGATGATGATGATGATGATGATGATGATGATTCTTGTTAAGATGGCCCTCAGACAGTAGCCACAATCTCACTGAACTTGTCCTTGAAACTTCTCCAGTTTGGTACAGTTTGCCAGCGCTTGTGCTTCACTGGCACCCATTCAGAGTCCAGGGTTTTAAACCTGTCTCCCAGAGGTCAAATGAGGAGGGCTTTCATGGAGAAAAAAAATAATTTTACCATGACTTGTTTGTCATGAAGTTTTTCTTAATGCTCGAACGGTGGTATTGTCCTGCTCTAACCCTATCCTCCCTCTTCACACCAATTCGATAGAAAAGGAGGCAATGGAAAATTTTCGTGAGAGTTTTTCAAGTATTTCTAATCTCATGATTATATTTTGTGGTGGGTATAGGAGTGAAGCTATTATCATATTATTCCTTTTGTTAGGCAGTGGGCTGATTTGAGAACTGAAAATTCTTTTCTTTCTTTCTTTCTTTCTTTCTTTTTTTTTTTTAAGAACTGAAAATTCTGATCAGCCAGGGTGCATGAAAAGAAAAACAAATTAACTAACCAGCCAGCTTCTGGTTTTTCTTAACAGCTTCTCTCGCCCCCCTCTTCCTTTTAAAATCCTTTTTCTAAAGAAAGACTGCTAGATAGAGGAGGGGGGAGGAATATATTTAGAAGTGAAAAGCAAAGGCATCAGTTTTTTAAAAATAGCTTCATTTCTCATTGGCAGTGAAGAATGGTGCTAGGAGTGTTTTTCTTTGTGTGTGTATGTATGTGTCTCTATATGATTTCTGTAGTATGGGAGTATTTTTTTTTTTTTTGCTCAGGCAGTTGGGGTTAAGTGACTTGCTCAGAGTCACACAGCTAGTGAGTGTTATGTGTCGGGGGCCCGATTTGAACTCGGGTCCTCCTGACTCCAGGGCTGATGCTCTATCCACTGCACCACCTAACTTCCCCTGATGATGATGATGATGATAACACTCCTTTCTGTAGAGCATTATCTCCTTTGTTTTTTGTTTTTGTATTTGTTTTTTTGGTGAGGCAGTTGAGGTTAAGTGACTTGCCTAGGGTCATACAGCTAGTGTCAAGCGTCTGAGGCCAGATTTGAACTCAGGTCCTCCTGACTTGTGGAGTATTTCACCTAGATCATAAACCCTATCATACATACTTAGGTAGTTTTATGACCAAAAAATTACTTATCTTGTACCCAACTCTTTGGTGGTAAACCTTGCTGAGCTTAATTAGACTGGTGCTCAAAAGCGCCAGAGTTTCCTCTGTGGTAGGAGTTACTGGAGCTGATGCTTTCATGGAAATGAAATAATTTTTGATGTGTTTGTCTGTGTGTATATGCATCACGTGTATAAAATAGGGCCTTAGCCATTCTCATGCTTTGTATGCTAGGAGAACTGCCAAGGAAAGATAGTTTCTTTTGAATAGTTGTGTTAAGGAAAAAAGTTATGTATGTTCTCTTTTTATTGCTTGGACGGGATCTTGTAGGAATTTTTTAAACAAGGTTAAGTAACAGAGATGGAGAAGAACATAGCTTCCCAGGGAATCACTTAGTTGTTTTAAGACAGCCCTCTTCCTCAGTTCATAAGGAAACAGGTTGGAATCTCATTTCTCTTTGTAACATTGATATCTGCTCAGGCAGGGAGTGCTTTTTGAAGTCCTTGGGAGCTCCATGCCTGCAGAGGCAGAATCTATAGGTCACACTGAGAAACTTGAACCTATTTCAACAAAAGCGTCTCAGGCAGGAAAGAAAATGGGTGGAGGGAGCCGTGTCAGTCCTGATTAGAAACCTGAGCAAGAGATTATTTCTGAGTGTTGTTGTATGATAATGGACAAAAATAATAGCTAGCATTATATGGCACCTACTATGTGCCAGGCAGGAGATTAAATCAGTCAGTACTTAAAGAAATGCAGGCTATTCACTGGAAGGTCAAATACTGAAACTGAAGCTTAAATAGTTTGGACACATAATGAGAAGACAGGACTCATTGGAAAAGACCCTGATGATGGGAAAGCTTGAAGGTTAAGGAAAGGGGGACAGCAGAGGATGAGATGGATAGATAGTGTCATAGAAACAAGCTTGGACAGACTTTGAGAGATAGCGAAAGGATAGAAGGGCCTGTTGTGGTATGGTCCATGGACATGATTGAATGACTGAACAGTAACAGAATGGTCAGTCACTGTGCTAAGCATTTTACAAATATTACCTCGTTTAGATCTCATAACAATCCTATGAGGTACGTGCTATTGTTATTACCATTTTACTGATGAGGAAACTGAGGCAGACAGGATAAGTGACTTGCCTAAGGTCACACAGCTAGTAAGTGTATGAGGCTAGATTTGAACTCAGGCCTTCCTGACTCCAAGGGCCAGCTCTTTATCCACTATACCACTTGGCTGCCCATTGTAAGCAAAATTAGATATGATAATAAATTTAGACATTGGTGTAGGAAATTTCAGAAGGAATTAAAAGATCTGGTTTCAGAAATGTCGGTTGGTAAATCTCAGTGTGACCAGAATCTAGATGTACCTGGGTTTGTGAGTGTAATTATTTCCACTATACATCATCAAACCGGAAACTATCCAATTCTTGTTCCATCATTGGGCAGGTTGGACAAAAGTACAGGAAAGAAGCCCCACAAGGCCCATTCTAGAGCATTGGTCAGCAAACTATAGCCTCCCTGTTATCAAGAGTGCTTTGGGTTTGCAGCCTGCTTTCTCTGTAGTATGAGTGCTTGTGATTTTGTTTCTGGCCTAAATGAATTCATTTGTTTTATCCTTTATTAGTGCATTGTCAAAAGCACTCTTCCCCAGCACTCTGGGCTTTTGTTTGTTTGTTTTGTGCAGTCTAGTAGGGTGTAGGTTAAGTGTTTTCTAGGGTCTTACGTCCCTTTACTGAAATGTCTTATGGACTAAGAATGTTTGAGAACCAGTTTTCTACAGTCAGTGGCAGTGTTTCTCCCAGGATATATAAAATGGTATGTGGGAGAGTGGGGGGCTCTAGTGTGAGTCTACAGGGTACATGCTTTTTGGGGGTACTTTGTTATCCCTCTTGTTAATAGGAGCTGGGTCTTTTAGGCTGCCACTTAATGAGAGGAGTTGGAGAAGAAACCGAGGCAGTGGGGCAGCACCAGCTTATGCAGCCATGTTGGTGCTTCCTAATTGCGTTTTACCCCTCAGAGTCTGAGGCTGTGCGTTACTCTTATGTCATCATTGTATCTAAAAGGGATCATTTAGGGATGTCCCCCCCACAGGTTGACAAGTGTTTATCAAGTATCCGCGAGGTTTTTCTTGTTTTTTCTAGTTGCAAAGGACCTGCCAAAAAAAGATGTCTATGATCATCTAGCATCCCTCTGCCCTTTCCTACCATATCTTCTCTGACACCGATGGTTGTAGAAACAGGATCTGGTTATAAAGTAGTGTCGCTTGGTAGATAGAGTGCTTCACTTGGGATCGAGAAAACCTGGTTTCAAATCTCAACTCAGGCAAGTCGCCACCTGTCTGGACCATGGTTCCCTCATCTTTCATAAAGGGATAATAACAACTGTAGAAATGATGTCACAGGGTTGTCATGAGGCTCAAAAGAGATTATGTATTGAAAGCATGTTGCAAACTATAGAAATGTCAGCTACTATAAGGGAGAAGTTACCATAGTTAAGCCATTTTAAGATAGAGCACTGGACATGGAGTCATGGGGCCTGAGTTCAAATCCCAAACTCTTCTGCTTTCTACCTGTATGACCTTGGGCAAGTCTCTTAATCTCCCGGGGACTCAGTGTTCTCATCAATAAAATGAAGGGGTTGGACCAGATGGCCGGCCTCTAAGGTGTGTTCCACCTGGGGAACACTGATCCTGTGCTGTAATCACAACAGGTGTGGCTTTTTCTATTAAATGATTTCCAAAGATCTCATAGAGAAGACAGTAGAAAACTTCAGATTTGGTACTGGTATGCTGAACTCCTAACTTTTCTAATTTCTTTCTTTGGAAAGAACTAAGGGATTTTCTAGAAAAGAATAAAAGAATTAAAGTTCTGCTCCAAGTGTTAATACTGGATCTAATCTTCCAGATTTAATTTCTGTTGTGGATTTGTTAGGCATTCATCTAAATCCCAGAGGTTTGTTTAATATTTTAATTGTATAGAACCCTTTTTGTTTTTCTATAGCCTGTAACAGCCTGTCTGCCTTTCACACCTGTTGCTGTAACTTTGCCCAAATATTAATGCATTAGTGAAATTTTCTTAAATAAATTGTCTCTCCATTAAAAAAAAATATACTTAGTACCCCTAGATCCAGAACATTGGCCTCTAACTCCATTGATCTCCCAGCTCTTTGTGAGGGGTGTTTAAAAATGTTGAGCAGCTGAGGACTCAGAGTAAATTTCTATGTAATCCCTTCCCCTTAAGTGATTGGTTTGTCGCCTAGATCTGATCATAATGCTCCCTGCACTTTTTCCAACCTCAAGTATAATGAAATTAAAAGAAAATTCCTAGTATTAGCTACCTCATTCCACAGTTATTCTTCCAAATAAAATGTTCCTGGGTCTTTTCTGAAGAACTAGGGGATAACAGAATACAGGAACAGAATGCAAAATTCAGTTACTGTATCGATTTTTGTTTCCTTTACAAGAAGGTTCAGTTCCAGGGGTTGAGCTAGAGGGGCTCCTCTAGAAATGCTTGTGATATGAAAACAAAAGTCAACAGAACAAACATTTATTAAGCCCTTGTTATGTGTCAGATATTGTGCTAAGTACTTAAGATACGAAGAAGTAAAGATCAAAAAAATCCCTGCCCTCAGGGAGCTCATCATCAAGAGAGACTACATGTCAACAATTATGTACAAGGTATATGCAGGATAAATTGGAAATGATCTCAGAGAGAAGACTGGGAGCCAGGGGAAAGTCTTGCAGAAGGTAGGATTTTTGACTCAGACTCAAAGAAAGCCAGGGAAGCTAGGACATAGAGAAAATTAGGGAGACCATTTTAGGCATGGGGGATGTCCAGTGAAAATGTGCAGTGTCTGAAGATGGCGTGTATGAGCTGCAGCAGTTGGGCTAATGTCACTGAATCATAGAGTACATGAATGGGAGTAAGGTGTAAGAAGCCTGGGTAGATAGAAAGGGGCAGAGTTGTTTTTTTTGTTTTTTGGTTAGGCAATGGAGTTAAGTAACTTGCCCAGGGTCACACAGCTAGTAAGTGTCAACTGTCTGAAGCCAGATTTGAACTCAGGTCCTCCTGTCTCCAGGGCTGGTGCTCTATCCACTGTGTCGCCTAGCTGCCCCTGGGGCAGGATTTTAAAGGGCTTTAGATGCCAAACAGAGAATTTTATATTTGATCCTGGAGGTGATTATTGAAGTTTATTGAATGGAATGGGGGGTGGGGAATGACATGGTCATATTTGTTCTTAGGAAGATGAATTTGACAACTAAGTGAAGGATGAACTGTAGTCGGGAAAGACTTAAGGCACTGAGGCCAAGCAGAAGGCTATTGCAGTAGTCCAGGCATGAGGTGATGAGGGCTTGTGCTAGAGTAATGGCAATGTCAAGAGAGAAGGGGTGTGTATGAGATATATTATGAAGGTAGAAACAATAGCATTTTTTAACAGATTGGGTATGGGGGCATAAGAGAAATAAGAGAGTTGAGGGCGACATCCAGGTTCCTGGGCAACTGGGAAAATGGTGGTGCCTTTGACAGCAAATAGGGAAGTTAGGAAGAGGAGATGATTTTGGAGGAAAGAGAATGAGTTCTTTTTTGGACAAGCTGAGTTTAAGGATCTATGAGACATCTAAATTGAAACATCCAATGGGCAGTTCAAGATATGAGAGAGGTTAGAGCTAGATAAGCATATCTGAGGATCATCTGTATCGATATGATCACTGAACCCATGGACGTTAATGAGAACACCAAGTGAGATAGTGTGGAAGAGGGCCTGGGACAGAGCCTTGGGGGACACCCATAGTGAGTGAACATGACCTGGAAGAAGACCTAGCAAAGGAGGCTTAAAAGGCACTGTCAGACAGGTAGTAGGAGATCCAGGAGTGAGCTGTGTCATGAGAACCTAGAGAGGAGTGTGGTGCAGAAGAGGGTGATGATCACCCTTGTCAGAGGCTGCAGAGAAGTTTTGAAGGATGACCAAGAAAAGGCCATTGTAGTTGGCATCTGTAAAATCTATTTTTTAAAAAAAGTTTGGTTTTTAAAAATTTTTCATTGATGTTGCATTTTATGGATTAGAGAGGAAAGAACTGGAAGATGATATTTTAATGTGGAAAATGAACCAGTCTTAATCATCAAAACGGAAGTAAATAACAAATTGGCTCCAGTGAGGCATTGTGGATTATAAATGTTGCCAGCCTTCAGTGTTCTGTTATTGTTAAAAGCTCTATATGATAAAATCAAATCAACAAATAGCAAGTGATAAATGTGACCAGCACAGACTCCGAGAAGGAGGCATGTATGGTAACCAACCTGAAGTGGCTTAGGCCAGAGATGAAAACCTGAGGTGACCTGGCATCTAGAGATGCCGAAACACCCACCTTTGGCTGTTGCCATTTATGAAGGATAATGGAGCTGCTGAAGATGCCAGAGAAATTTGACAGGAATAAAGGCTATTGATGGATGTTGTTACGAATTGCATAACATTTGACTTATTATGTGCATGGTGTCTTAGTACAGTGCTCAAGCTAGAACATTACACTAAGACTTTTGGGATATCCTGTATATGGAGCATTGCTTAGAAGTTGTTGCAACATTATTATTTTTGTGGGCAGCTAGGTGGCATAGGTAATAGAGCACCAGACCTGGAGTCAGGAGGACCTGAGTTCAAATTTGGCCTCAGACACTTACTAGCTGGGTGACCCTGAGCAAGTCATTTAATTCTGTTTGCCTCAGTTTCCTCATTTGTAAAATGAGAAGGAAATGGCAAACCACTCCAGTATCTATGCCAGGAAAAGCCCAAATAGACTTACGAAGAGTGCCACTGAAAAATAACATTACTTTTGTCAAATAGCCATGTGTTGATAGATATGTACGTATAATATAAACACATATGAAAATGGCATCATGTTATCATGGTGTCATAGATACATACATATAAACACATGTTTATATGCATGTACATACACACATGAACATGTGTGTGTGTGCGCACACGCATGTCAGCTAGGTGACACAGTAGATAGAGCATTGGACTGGGAGTCAGGAAATTTAAATCCAGCCTCAGACATTTAATAGCTGTGAAAACCTGAGCAAGTCACTTAACCTTTATTTGCCTTAGTTTCCTTGACTGTAAAATGAGGATAATAATAGTACCTACCTACCATCAAGGTTGTTTTTAGGATAAAATGAGATAATATTTATAAAGGACTTGGCACAATGCCTGGCACGCAGTAAGTGTTTCATAAATGGTAGTTGTTATCATTATCATTATTGTTAGTATTATACATGTTTTATTTATATATATATATATATATATGTATATACACACGTTATATATACAGATATGTCTTCATTTTTACCAATCTACAGGTCTATGAGGAGAATGGCTGTAGAACCTCCACTACTTCATCCCTTCTGTCCCTTTGCATGGATGTGCACCTCTTCTCCAGCATTGATGATGGCACTGGGTTTGCCGTTCCTGAGCAAGTCATAGCCCTTTGGGCACAAGAAGGCATAAAGAATGGCAAGGAGATCTTGCAGGTTTGATACAGACCATTTGGTGCTGCAGCAAAATGCCTTACTTAAACGGCAAGGGTTTGGAGCCAGAATTACCATGGAAGCCATGGGGTTTCCTCCATCCATAGCTGGAGAAGCAAGGGTTTAGGAAAGGAAAAAAAAAACTGAGGGAAGGAAGTGGAATAGAATTTTTCTTTCAGGAGATTATAGCTAGAATGTGTACATACATCTTTTCCTATTTTGTTGTGACAGAAAATCCTCAGCAGAGAAGATTGCTTTGAAACACTCTTGTCTTCATTTCAATTTTTAAAATAAAAGGATCATAGAAGTCAGAAGGGATGACACCTTTGCCTGTGGATTTATTAGAGAGCTTAACTGTACTTATATGTAGGAAGAAAACACATCCACAGACTCATATTTCTACTTAATAATAATAATTATAATGATAACTAACATTTATATAACGCTTTAAGGTTTACAAAGCACTTTAAAAATATTGTTTCCTTTGATCTTCACAGCAACCCTGGGAATAGGTGCTATTATTATCCCTATTTTACAAATAAAGGAATTGAGGCAGACAGAGGCTAAGCCACCTCTCCAGGTTTACATAGCTATTAAATATCTGAGATTGAATTTAGACTCAAGACTTCCTGACTCCAGATTCAGCATTGTTTCCACTGTACCACCTGGATACCAGATTTAGTAGTTAGATCCCTCCCTTGTTCTCAACAACTTAAAACATTTTATTTTTTGTGCATACCAATTATATTCAATTTGGTAAACATTTATTAAGTGCCTACTAAGTTCCGGGCATTATGCTAAATCCAGGGGACATGAAAAGAGGCAAAAGGTAGTCCCTGGGGAGGACAGTATGCAGACAGATATATACAAAGCAAAGAAAGGTACTGGGATTAAAAGGGGTTGGGGAAGGCTTCAGTAGAAGGTGGGGTTTTAGATGGAGAAGAGGAGGCAGAGTGTTTCAGGCATGGGAGACAGCCAGAGAAAATGCCAAGAGCCAAGAGATGAAGTGTTTTGTTGGTGGAACAGCGAGGAGACCAGTGTCATTGATTGGAAGAGTACATTTTGAAGAGTAAGGTGTAAGAAGACTGGAAAGGTAGGAGGGGGCTAGGTTATGAAAGATTTTGAATGACAAACAAAGCATTTTGTATTTGCTCCTGAAGGCAATAGGATGCCACTGGAAAGTTTATTGAGTAGAGTAGGTGACATAGTCAGGCTTGCCCTTTAGGAAAATTACTTTGGTGGCTGAATGGAGGATGGATTGGACTAGGGAGAGATTTGAGGCAGGCAAACTGACCAGCAAGTAAATTCAGTAATCAAGGTGTGAGATGATGAGGGACAGCACCTGAGGGGTGGCAGGAGAGAAGAGAGAGTATTCAAGAGATGTGTCAAAGTCGACAGGCCTTGGCAACAGCTTGGCTGTGGGGGGGGTGGGGTAAGCAATAGTGAGGAATCCAGGATGACTCCTTCGTTGTGAGCCTGAGGCACTGGGAAGATGATATTATAGTATAGCAACTCGGAAGGCAGGAGGAGGGTAGGGTTTAGGAGGCAAGAAAATGAGTTCATTTTTGGACATGGTAAGTTCAAGATATCATTCAGTTTGAGATGTCTGAAAGACCATTAGAAATGGAAGATTGGAAGTCAGAAAAGAGTTTGGGCCAGGAAAAGTAGATTTGGTAATCATCAGTATGAAGATGGCAATTAAATCTGTGGGATCTGATGCAATCATCAACTGAAGTAATATAGGAGGGGAACAGAAGAGGATGGTTAGAGGGTGTGATCTGGAGGAAGATCCAGCAAAGGAGATAGATAATAGATGGTCAGGTGTTTCTGACACCTGTTCCTGTGTCCAGCAAGGTTTTCTGTGTGGTTATGTTTTGGCATCACACCAAGATGCTTTTTTTTTTCAGTTTCCTTTTAACCCCAGAAGTTGTTTGGAGGCTCAGAAACAACCTGTTACCTCATCAGGTTTCTTGGCATTTGGTGGATCTTATTTCAGGTCTTGTCTTGTCTTGTCTTGTCTTGTCTTGTCTTGTCTTGTCTTTGGCAGTGGGGTTAAGTGACTTGCCCAGGGTCACACAGTTAATAAGTGTTATGTGTCTGAGGCCGGATTTGAAGTCAGGTCCTCCTGAATCCAGGGCCGGTGCTGTATCCACTGTGCCACATAGCTGCCCCCCAGGTCATTTCTTTATTCATCTTCCACACACAGGTTTCTTCATTTAGAAGGCCTGAGGGGGTCTCTGTTCTAAAAACAGCCTAGTTATGAGAAAGGTTCTATTTCGACAGATCGCATCTAACCCATGGCAAAGAATTGGCAGGTCTGCTGTCCTTGCATTTTGATCCCCACTGTGTAGAAAAGACAGCCCTATATGTTGGTTGCCCTTTCCAACCTTGGTATTTTATTTTTTCTTGGAGCTTACTCTACATTCAGAATTTCTGTGGTTTTCTTTGTTTTGATGCAACTCACACCACTTACGTGGCAGCTACAGAGTTTGAATAATTTCCTATTCTCCAATTGTACCATTTATTTTTTCTAGAGCCCAACAAGATTGCCAGCCTGTTCTTGATTACACATGGGAAAAAGGCATCTAAAGCCTTTCCAAAGATAGGCTGGCGTTAATAATAATTATAATAACCACAGCTATCCCTTTCATATCTCAGCTTGCCCCATTCTGGTTTCAGTATATCATAGGTAAGCATGAAAAATTAAATGAGAATTTTTGGGGAGTTTTGTGGAAGCCACAGATGACATGTGAAGGCCAATAGATGACACAGAAAAAGTTTAGAAACTCAGAAATGCGCAAAATATGTGTAAAATATTACATATTATATATACATATAGTATATTACATATTTTCTACATATACATATGTATAGTATTACATACATAAAAATGTATAGTATTGTTTAATATCAACATATTTTACCTTTTAATACCATAATAATTCATACTACTTCTCTAGTATAAAGGGAGAGTCAAAAAATTTTACACAGATTTTCCAGATCTTGGGGACACCATGCTCTTAACTCCAATGATGTGGAAGGGATAACTGTACTGTTGTTACAAAGAACTTTGCAAATGAACCCATGTTAAATTCACAATACCCTGGGAGGTCAGTTCCGGGTTATCCCCATTTTATAGATGGGGAAACTGATGTAGACAGAGTGACTTGCACAGGGTCACACAGCTAGTATATGTCTGAGGCCATTTTTGAACCCAGGTCTTCCTGATTTCTGGTCCATTATTCTATCCACTGTGCCACCTGGCTAACTGCCTTGGAATGAGAACTTCCTACCTGTAAAATCTTAGATCTTGAAATTTCATTTCATACAGAGCCTAGGACACTCCTGACCATGATTTAAGAAACTCACCCAGTATACCCTGCCTCTTTTTCTTTTCTTCTGAAGGAGGAAGGGCCGAGCCACTGCCACTGGGGTTTGAACCGTGGGCCTCCCTTTTTTCTAGCAGTACACCAGATGATGCTTTAATCACTTTCCTGTTTCATTTTGGGTGACCTCTCAGGTTCATAGAAAAAGTAAGAAGAAAATATATTTGGACTAAGGGAATTCTTCCTGCAGTTTCTGTGTTTGGCCTCTTAGAATTTAGATGAATAGAGCAAGATGCCTGGGGGTGGGAAGAAGTACTTCTTGACCCTAAGTAATATCATTTTATCTTAAAAAAAAAAAAGGAGTATACCATTGTTAGAATAGAGTATAGAGTTATAGAGTTTCAGGACCGAAAGAAACCATAGATATATAGGGTGGTCCAGATTAGAGCTCAGGTTTCTCAGACTCCAGACTCAATGTTTTCTCCATTATATTACTGCCTCTTTTTTGCCGGTCAGAAGGGAGGGAGGGAGAGAGTAGGTGTTTATATAGTTCTTGTTATGTACCAGGCAGTGTGCTCAGTGCTTTACAAATATCTCACTTGATTCTTATAACGACTGTTAGATGTAGATGCTATATTATCCCCATTTTATAGATGAAAATTTGAAGCAGACAGAGGTTAAGTTATTTGTCCAGAGTCATGCAACTAGCAAGGTTCTAAGGCTGGCATGGAACGCAGGTCTTCTTGACTCCAGGCCCAGCTCTCTATCCACTGTGCCACCTAGCTGCAGTCAGAGAACAGCATTTCTTGCCTTAGACCATGTGGAAGTTCCTGATTTTCCTTCCTTCTTTCCTTCCTTTTTTTCCTTTCTGCCTTCTTTCCTTCCTGCCTGCCTGCCCTACTTTCCAGTTGGTCCTGTGCTGTTATTGATCTTCTCGCCCTCCCTGTGGTGATGTTATCTTGAAAGGGTCCTGGAACCAGTGCCTATATAACATACTTCTTCTAGATGAGGAAGCTTGAGATCTTGCTCTTTCAGAGTGCCTGTTATCCTCCTTAATTCTGTTTGGCCCGTTAGAAGCCATTATCTTTTTTGCCAACTCTGTTGCTGAGCAGAGATTGCCCGGCTAAGACTTTGTTCCCAGCTTGCTCCTTTGTGATACATGTTTGTCATTGTCAAAAAGTCAGCACTTGTATAATCATAACTTGTGTTATAATTATTATTCTAAAAGCTGACACTATGCTTTCCCTTTTCTCAAAGAGCTCAAATGACCTTGCACATAGCTTTTTTCATCCTCCCATAGAACCAATGAGGAAATTGGAGCTTGAATGATATCCCATCTGTGCTGATGTGTCCTATTGCCTGTGGCTTGACTTGCGTGTAGCCTTTAACATGTTTGATAAAGGTAGGGGGAAGTCCATAGTTATGAAAACATGGCTATGTTGTTATATTTTTAATGGATTGATAAGTGTTGCTTATTTTTTTCCTTTTTCCCCATTTACAAATTTTGTTAGATGGTTCCCTGGAGTAGGAGAGGGAGAGCTAAAGAGGGGAAATTAAGCAATGAGGAAAAAAAAGGTGTTGATTAAAAAGAAAAAAAAACCCTATTTGTCAGAACTTATAGGTCTTTGAGATGGCATAAGTACAGAATTTCAGGTCCTAAGCATATTGACATAGATGCCAGGCAGGTTGCTAGGGCAAAAGTAAAACCAAGGGTTGGACTTGGTGATATCTAAGTCCTTTCTAACTCTAAGTTTCCATGTTGAAGGGGAGTGTGGTGTAGTGTAAAGAATCCATGTCAGAAGGCGTGGATTCAAATACTGGCTCTATCATTATCTGTGTGACCTTGGGCAAATCTTTGCCCCCTTGAGGACCTCAGTTTCATCATCTGTAAAATGAGGGATCAGGCTACATGACTTTCATTCTAGCTCTAACTCAGTGAATTGATCAGGTGATCATAAGTCATGCTAAGAACCAAGATTCAGGAATTATTCACAGCATAGAGACCCATCTTGTGCAGCATAAGAGATGACTTTTTTCTTTCCACAAAACACATGACTTCCTGTATCATTGAAAGAGAGACAGCCTATATAAAGTGGCCTGCATGCTGTCCTTTCCTGAGTAAAGCCCAAGGGCCACTTTGTAGCCCACAGCACTCCTAAGGGTGGCCTGAACCGGATTAAAAGATTACCGGGAAATATTTAACCAAATAAATAAAAATACAATAAAATACAGACATTATTACATTTTGAAACGTATTACATTTACATTACCTCGTCTGTATGCGGCCTGCAGAGATCTTATGTATGTATGATTAGTGACTACCCCCGTCTCTATTTGAGTTTGACAGCACTGGGATAGCATAGTGGTATTTGAATTAGGAAGACCTATATTCATATTGTTCTTCTAGACACAGGTTTTATGACCATAGACTTCTCAACCTCAATTTCCGTATCTGCAAAATGTACATGATATTAATACCTATAATACATGTAGTCTGTACCTCCCAGGATCATGGTGAGGCTCCAGTGCTGTGATATGTGTAAAGTGCTTTGCAAACTTTAAATGTTACTATCTAAATGTCAGTTGCCAAAGTAGATACATAGACAGACAGATGGATGGATGGATGGATGGATAGATAGATATAGATAGATAGATAGAATGTTATATACAGAGGATGTCCCCAAAAGTTGAAACTTATTAAAGCTTGTAACTTCATTACAACTTTGGGAATGCCTTATATATGTAAACTTTCATACACACACACACACACACACACACACACACACACACACGCCCCCGCGCGCATATGTATACACTCTCTATGTATATTCTGCACGTGAATATCCATATCTGTCTATCTGTATCTGGCTTAAAGTGTCAGTTAAATCCTGCCTTCTACAAAAAGCGTTTTACCGATTCATCTGAACATTAGTTCCTTCCCTCTGAGATGACATCATCTCCATTTCATCTCGTATCTCCCTCATAAGACTGCGCTCTTTGAGGCAAAGGGTGTTTTTTCCATCTTTGTATCCACAACACTTAGCACGTTGCCTGGCACATAACAGGTGCTTTTAAATTTGACTTATTTTTATTAAAATTTCCAATAAATTCTGTTGATTATTATTAGCATCAGTCTCACCTGCCAGTGAATCCAGATTTTTATTATTTCCAGAACCTTGACTTCAACATGGAAGATAAGGTGAACCTTTTGGAACTGACATGGGCCTTTGACAATGAGTTGATGACTAGTGGTGGAATTCAGCAGGCAGCCTTGGCCTCCTACAGACATGAAGTCTGCTATCTACAGTAAGAGCCTTCTGTTTGTGTATGTTAGTTAGAGACTTCTGATGGAATTCTGTGAGTATCTATGTGTTAGCTCTAGCTTTATTGAAAATTTCAAGCACATGGGATGTGTTGGAGAAAGTGTTGGACCAGTGGTCATTTCCATGGAGAATCTCCAGGTTGTCAAGGAAGAACAGCTAACATTAGGAGCAGCCTGTATTATAGGACCCCTACTTTTATCATTTAATCGATGAACATTTGTTAAATGCCTACTGTGAACTTACAACTGAACTTAGCCCTTGGAATAGGAATATAAAATTTAAATAAGATGCTATCCTAGCATTCGAGGATCATATAGTCTAATAACTCCAGTAATATGCCAAAAAATCACAATGTAAAATATACTTGAGAAACTGACCAGAGAGTTACAAAACAAAATGTTGGGTGAAATCTGAGGGAAAGGTTGTTACCAACGAGGTAATTGGGAAGGTTTCCTGGTATAGGCAGCATTTGAAGTAGGCAGGCAATCAAGAGGTGAAGGGAGAAAGAGAGAACAAAGGGGAAAGTTCTGTCTAGTATCCAGATATGTAGGAAATTCTCCAAGTAATCACCAAAGGATATTGAAAGGCACCATTGTGCAGAGCCTTTTTTATAATCTACCTTTATTCCTACGTCTGTATGTGGAAGGAGAAAAAAAATAAATAAAATGAAGACTAAAGTTTCCTAGCAGTCCATTTTTCTTAGCCTGAACAACTTGTAAAACTTGAAAACTGACACATCCCCCTTGTCAGGTTTTTATTTTTGCATGGTTTGAGCCTTGCCTTATAGAATCTTTTTGAATGGGACGGCAAATGATAATCTCTAAACTTACAGGCTATTCAGTGTTTAATTGAGTCAAATTACATCAAAATTCCAAAAGGAAGATAGAAATATATGTTATTATTTTGAAATTTCATTTTGCTAATCATCAAGGTTGAAAGCAGTCCAATAAACCAAGAAAGTCTAAAAAAATCAATCTGATTTTTCTCAGTGGTGTTGGGTCCTGGACACCAAAAGGAAAACAGAAAACATTTCCCAATCTCTTACACAGTCTCAAAATAAGAGTTTTGGACAGGGACAGTATGTCAATTACATTATGATCCCATTTTAATCAAATTCTGTTTGAGATTTAGCTATTTATATATTCCCTCTGTTTGCCAGGAAGTTAAGTGGAATGATCATTTTTATATGTTTATTGATTGATACTTTTAAAATTATAGGGATTATTGCAGATAGCACATTCTATTCCCCAGGCAGTAAACAGGGAATAACATTAATGGAAAATTAACTCACTTTTCTTAAATTTTATGCTTCCAGATAAAATAACAAAAATTGGATTATATTAAGATGATAAAATCCAGATGATAACTGGAACCAATTAATATACAATTTGAGGGATGTGTAAATAATTAAACATATAGTTTTACATATAATCCAATCTAGTGTTGCTTGTTTGTTCAAAACACACTTTTTAATCACTTGCTTTATGCATTACACCACACAGTATGATCTGAGAAAATAAAAGGCACAATCACTTCCCTTAAAAGTTATAGTCTAGTTGGAACTGAGCAATTTTAGTCAGCTTTGCCAGCTGAATTTAAAAAAAGACTGAACCTCCTTTTCCCTTTGAATTCCATGGAGTATAATCAGCAGGTTTTTCAAGTGGGGAAAGAATTGATGATAGGGTGAATTCTCCTTTTAGAACCCACTGACTTTATTGATGAACCTTAAAAGTTGTACTGGAACAGTGCTAGGCCCAGGCCTCAGCAATGATCCGGAGTGACCAGAAGACCAGCTAATCTCAGAGAGTGCTGACCTGTTCTACCCCCCTTTGGCTCACTTGACTTGAGTTTGCAGCCATATACAGCTAGTAGCAGCACTGCCTCCTAGTACCTATAAAGGACGGAAACAGACACTCTTTCCCTCTCCATCCTGCTCTCACCACTTGCAAGTTCTTTTTTTATTTTAATCTCTCCATGTGAGAGAAAATAAGACTGTTGGTGTTGTGATTGGAATTCAATAATGTCTCCTTCCTCCATGGACAGAGAGCAAGCCGAGCAGACAGTGAAGCAAAGAGACAAACTGAAGCATGATTTGGAGAAATTGGAAAAACGGAACTTGGAGTTTGTCAAAGAGATGGATGAGTGTCACGTTGCCATGGAACACCTCAACGAAAGCAAAATCAAGTACGTGAAGCCAAGCCTGGGGTTAGGTTGGCCAGTAAATTGTGGCTCTACTGGAGCCAGAGGTGTTAATCCCTATATTCATATATATTATGCTAATGTCCAGAAGGCCCTTCCTGTACACCAGATTTGTGAAACTCACTGCCCAGCAGCGCAAAACTCCTGCGGGAGGCGGAACCAGATTAAAATGTAATTGGGAAACATTTAACAAAGTAAATAAAACTCAGGTACAAGATAGACAATGTTAATGTGTGGTTTTCTAAGTCAATATGCTGCCAGCAAGGTTTCTTTTTGAGTTGACATCACTGCTCTATAATATGGTGATGCAGTGTGTCACTGCTAGAGCACTGAACCTGAAGGCATGAAGACCTAAGTTCAAATCCAGCCTCAGATACTTACTAGCTGCATGATGCTGGGCAGATCTCTTAATCTCTCCCTGCCTCAGTTTCCTCATCTGTAAAATGAGAATATTACCAATTGTCTCTGAGGGTGGTTGTGAAGATCAAATGAAATAATTTTTGTGAAATGCTTTGTGAATCTTAAAAGTGCTATATAAATACTATTATTGTTGTTGTTATTATTTCTTCTTTTTAGCTGAGGTTACTTGGACATAGCATTGATAATGTAATTAGGTGTAGTGTGGAGAATGCTGAATTTACAGTTAGGAAGACCCTGAGATTGAATCCTGCCTCAGACACTTAGCTTTGTGATCCTAGGCAAGAACTTAATCTGTAAAATGGATACAATAGTTATTTCCCAAGGTTGTTGTTACGGAGCAAATGAAGCAATCCACAAAAAATGCTTCTTAAATCTATATAAATGCTATATGAATGCTGGCTTTTATCTTAATTATCACTAATATGCTTAACTCATCTGAAACCTAGAAAATGTGCATTTGAATCTGTAGATTAGATTTATAGTCCACCCACCATTTCTTTAAAAACAAATCTGTCCATCTCAAATTAATTTCAACCAATGCTTATTAAGGACCTGCTTGTGTGTTAGGGTCTAAGTATAGAAAAACAAAAATAAAAGTTCTTATTCTTTAGGAGCTTTCGTTAAACTGAGGATGCACCATGTATACGCAAATAATAAAAGAATAATTGAGGTGTGAGAGAACACTGACACCTGGGGAAGGGAGAGGACCAGGGAAGGCTGTACAGAGGATATGATACCTGAATTGAGCCTCTAAAGGAAGAGCTGGGTTTCAAGAGGCAGAAATGGGTATGGCATTGCCGGTAAGGGGGTTATGGCTTATGTGAATACACAGAGTGAGGCGAGTATCAAGTTCAAGAACAGCTAGTTCTGTTTGGCTAGACTGTAGAGTGAATGAAAGGGAATCACGTGAAATAAGGCTAGAACAGTAGGGGAGAGCGAGATTCTGGAGGACCTTAAATGCTAGATTAAGGAGTTTATATTTTATATGTAAGACAGTGGACAAGCATTTTTGGTCAGGGGAAATCATATGATCAGAACAAAGTGATTATTTTGATAGCCATGAGGAGGGTGAAATGGAGAGGAGAGAGACTGGAAGCAGGGAAACTAATTAGGAGACTTAGCCAGCCAAGAGAAGGTCATACGACCCTAGCTAGGGTGGTAGCCATGTGAGAAGAACTAAAGGGAGAAGAGGGAGAGAAGAGAGAGTTGTCATGGAGGTAGAATTTGTTAAAACCTGGTAATTGATTGGACATGGAGGATGCTGGAGAGGAAAGACTAGAAGATGACTCTGAGTATAAAAACCTAGGGGATACAGTTACCAATTTAAGGGCAGTATGCATTAGCTTCCAAGCCTCATAAATCTTGGAACAGGTGATGAAGCCATTTGAGTCTGAGAGCAGTAGGGGGAATATATGATTTCCCTTATATTTGATGAAGTTGGTTTTGCATCTTTTATCATTACTAGGCAGAGTCTTCCCTCTATGCCACCTGGATATTTACTTTATCCATTTGTCCTTTTTTGGAGAGGAAAACAGATACAGCAAGAACTGGATTTTTGAATGGTTTCAGAAACAAGGAAAACTTTGCTAAGCAAGGTGTTCACTGTATGATGCTTATAACTGAGGAAGTGTTGGGTTGCTCAGTGACTGTCTTGCAACTCTGATGTTTCCTGAGAAAATCCATTAAGTTTTCACTCTTAAAAGTACTGCCTTGATTTGAAACATTGCTGAATAATAGGGCTTCAAGCAATTTGAAAGAATATTTCTCCTTCTTATTCCACTATTACTCTTATTGGTAGCAGCATAGTGTGGTGGTAATAATGATTATTTGGCATTTGTATGTGCTTTAAGATTGGGAAAGTACTTTGTATACAAAATTTAATTTGATCCTAATAACAGCATTATGACAATAATGACAACAACAACAATAATAATAGCTAGCACTTACATAGTGCTTTCTGGTTTGTGTGCATCCTGTCTTATTTAAGCCTCACAGAAAACCGTGGGAGCTAAATAATGAAAGTATTATTATCCCTCTTTACACATGAGGGAACCGATTCTCAGAGATATCAGATGGCTTGTTCCTGGTTTCACAGCCCTGGACTTGGAGTCAAAAGACCAGGATTTGAGTCCATGCTCTATCTTCTCAGTCTCCTCATATGTAAAAACAGATAATACTTATAATACTTGTACTACTTAGCTCGCAGAGTTGTCATGAGAATCACTGGATAATAACTCTGTCTGGTCCTTCCCTCCTCATTTTATACATGAGAAACTGAGGCACTGATTAAGTAACTCGACCAGGGTCACATATGTATTATCATAAGTGTTAGAGACAAGATTTGAACCCATGTCTCTTGGCTCCAAATCCAAGGCCCATTCCATTGAATCAATTCACGTAGCCATAAAGATGTAAATGCCAGCCATTATTATTATTGTTGTTGTGGTTGTTATTATTATTATCATCATCATCATCCTCCTCTTTGTTGTTTGGGATTGTTATTAATACAGTTGATTTTCCTCTATCCCTCCTGGGAGGAGGAGAGAAGTATGAGGGGGGGAGTTAGAGATAAAGCAGTGTGTGTTAATTAGTGTTGAAGAATGTTGTGACATGAATTTCAATAGACAGCTCTTGAGTGAGAGTTGGACAGGATGTATTGGAACTTGGCTGTGTGTGATTTTTTTTTTTTGGCTTTTTGGTGAGGCAGTTGTGACTTGCCCAGGGTCACACAGATAGTGTCAAGTGTCTGAGGCCTGATTTGAACTCGGATACTCCTGACTCCAAGGCTGGAGCTCTATCCGCTGCCCACTTAGCTGCCCCCATTTGTGATTTTCTTGAAGCCAGTGTGTTCCAACACCAATACCAGCACACACACACTGACTTTTTTACACCATTGGTTAAGTGATAGAAGCTTCATTGTCTGTAACCCAAAAAGCCATTAGCCCCAAAATAATGGGGGTCTGGAAGGTCAGCGAATAGGGCTTTTTCATAGAACTGAACTGGCTGGGGAGAGAGAAAAACCAGGTTCTTGAACTGGGTTTTACTGTAGAACAGTGTTCTACAGGAAGCCTTCTCCAACCCCTCTTTTTTTTTACCCCCTTTTTTGAGAGGCAGTTGGGGTTAAGTGACTTGCCACTACACCTCCTGGCTGCCCCTCTAACAGCTGTACCTTCCCTCTTTTAATTATTTCCTATTTATCCCCCATGTAGCTTGCTTTGTATGTATTTGTTTGCATGTTTTCTCAAAACCCCATTAAATTATAAGTGCCTTCAGGGTAAGAACTGTCTTTTGCCTTTTTGTATATCCAGCACTTATCACCATGCCTGGCATATCATAGGGGCTTGATAAATGTTGATTGATTGATTGATAGTTTCCTCATCTGTAAAGTGAAGAAATTATGCTGGATGGTCCTTCTTGTGCTAATATTTTAAGATTCTGTTATTCCTAAGGCCAGGAATGGAATGTCTCAAACATAGAGGAAGAAATCTGTTTGTTTGTTTTTTAATGTTCTTGTAGTAGAAAGAGCATACATAGTCTTTGCCATGATAGGATTTGTATTGAAATTCCACTCTACTACATTAGACCTCAGTGACTTAGACAAGTCACTTAAACCTCTCTGGTCTTCAGTTTTCTCAACTCTGAAAGGAAGGGATTGGACTAGATGAGCTTTAAGGTTCCTTTCAGCTTAAAATAATATAATCCTATTTAATTATTATTCTAATTAATATTAATTACTAAAACAACCATATGGGTTATTATATTTAATAAAGTTTCTTTTATTTAATAATAACATTAAAATTAATAATAATAAAACAATTATTAAGCCTAATTAAGATTCCTCTCAGCTTAAAATATCCTATTTATCTTAACTAATCGTTATTTATCACAGATGAACTAAGCTTATTTATTATAGTTAATAAGTATTCTTTTATTAATAAAATGGAAATTAATAATATAATAATTAAAACATTCAGGTTCCTTTCAGCTTTAAATAATATAATTCTATTTAATTATGATTCTAATTAATTATTACAAAGTAGTAAATCTTTACAGTAAGACAAAGGTTTCACCTCACAGAGTTTTCAGCTGCTGGTTGTATGCAAGACACTTTGTGGAGGGCTCTGAGGTAGATACAGAGTTTTTCTAAGATGTATGCCTTGCCTTTATGGAATAGAAACCAGTAGGAAAATAAGACTTGGTCACAGATAGGCATGATCAGGGGTATGCTGGTAAATATTTAACAACTGGTTCTCTGGGAGAGTGTGTATTTACAGAACACTTTTAAGTTTAATCTGCATTATTAACATATTTTCCTTCACTTTCTTAATTCTAGAAATCAGTAAAATAGTGTCATGCCCTGAGGTCAGTCAGAGCTTTGCCAGTTTCCAAAATGTAAATGCTCTCACTAAAAATTTAACAAGGTGGTCTTAGCTCTACTGTACCTCTGGATAATACGTAAAATTACTCAAGTGCAATTAAAGAATCTCAAACAAAATAGTATTTGGTGTCTTAGGGAGAAAAATGTAAATAGAATTTTTACTGTATGATTATTAAGCTAGATTCTT